ATTTCATCACCGCAGAGTTGATTCTATTTGGGTCAGAGTCATTAAGGATTGCCTTTCGTTTTCGCGGCGTGAAAACACCAGCTGCAAATACCCCCAATACCCTCGACCCGTTCCCGTTCCTTTCCGGCGCGCTGGTTACGCTCTCTTGCCTCTCTTCTCCCGGGTCAATACCTTTCCGGCCCCAATTATTCCTCCTCCCCCCTCGAGGAAAAACCGGAAAAACTTGAAGGCGCCATTGAATCGTGTCCACGTCTTCCTTCTCCTCCGTTCACCGCCGTTTTCCAACGCCTCTTTCTTCTTCCCTCCCTTCGTCCCACGATTGTTCGCCACTGTACGCGTGTTCCTTTTTACCGAGCGCGTCTCAAGGGACGTCACTCCAGCTTTCCGATCTCCTCTCTTGCTCGTTCCCTCCTTCTTCCCTTCTTCAGCTTTCGAGGCGCTCGACGTCCGTGCAACCGAGCAAACCAGTCATTTCGAAACGAACCAAGAAGAAGATTTTCTCGGTTACCTTTCCTTTTCCTTTCGTTGTTGTCGTTTCTCCACTCCTTCGGGTACGTAAAAGATAAAAGGTAACGCGAGAAGAGAGAGAGTGAGAGAGACGAGGGAACGATTCATTCATCTCTCGTGGCTACCATCCTACTATTTCTCGCGAGACAATGTCACTTTGTCGACCTTAACCGACATCGAGCGGGTTAAGCGGTTTCGACTTGTAATTCTCCGGCGCTTTTCACTCGAGGGAAAAAACGGCCGTTTTACAGGGGAGGCGCGCAAACAATCTCTGGTTTTGTCCACTTCCGCCCCTTTCCCCCCGTGTTATTTGCGAAACGAGAGTGGGATTTCCGGCGCGCATGGCCGGCGTAACAAGTTCCTAGATAACCAACGAATCTCGTTGCGGCTGTTTTCCCTCTCGTCCTCCCTTTTCTCTCGGTTCTTTTTTTTATTTTCACGAGTTAAAAGCCGCGATTATCGCGAATCTTTGAAATCCGATGACTGATTCGTTCCTAACGTTTTGTCAAATTAAACTTTGTCCATCAACTTTCGAAGTTTCATATTCCGTTTCTAAAAGTATTGGAAAAGTTAAGATTATCTTTACAACTTAAAATCTATTACATATGTATCGACAGTTTCAATACCTATTTTAATATCTTACGATATTAAAATTCAAGATTTATTTCACAATTTTTTATTATTACATCTGAACATTATCATACATTTGCTATATTAATTCGCTATTACGTTATTTTACTCGCACAGCGAATAAAATAATTCACAAAAGTTTACCACGCACATCGTAACGGTTTTAGATATTACTGTGATCCTTTCGAGCACATAATCTATCTTCGCTCAAACAACCATCGTCCTTCCTTACCGTTACCAAAATGTTCATCGCGAATACTCTTAATACCCTACTATACGTTTATGCAAACACAAACGCAACCTTAGCTTTGATGTTCAGAAGCCACGCTCATATTCCACCCCGAAGAAGCAACGGCATAACGTAACGACACTCCGTAATACCACTCGTATTCCCATCGCGCGAAATCTCGGCCGAGGTGGCCATAAACCGTCATAAAACCGCGGTGGGCCCTCGTAACCGTTTGACGTTTTACGTGATGGCTCTCTCTCGCTTACCTTTCGTAAATTTATCTTGGGCCTACTACCGTTTCGACTCTCCGTTTATGCGTAGATTTGATCCGTTTATCCATCGAATCGACCATCCTCCTTTTATACGCTCCTCCATCCGTTGAATCTGAAACGTGGTCGCGGAATGTAACGGCCGATCCCCCCGTGCTGCAAATTCCTCCAAGGTCCGTTTCGAGCGGAGCGTCGTTCCAAGCAATGGTATGCACTTCTCGATCGATCCATTCGGATGGATTAACACGTTCGAGGCACAAGAATCGAGCAAACTTCTTCTGATATCGATTTTCTATTCGAACACAGAGTTACAGAGAACTGCGTAAAATGCGTTAACTGCGAAGTCCAAAATCGTTCTGTATACTGACGAGAGTACGTAACTCGAAGGTGAATGTTTATACGGTAAGAGGGGATACGTGTAACGCATGTACGCGCGAGTGTTTGTTTATATTCGTTCGACGAAAGAAAGAAGCGATAAGACAAAGGAACGTTACTATTGATAATTTTTCAAACACTGTGCGTCGTAATAATTGCGTTATAATAATTGCGTTTATTTATATACGGAACGTTTCTTTTCCAAAAGAAATTGTGTATCGCGTTATTTTTCATATTTTCTTTTCGAACAAAATTCGTAACGGCGATCACCGAAAAAAATCATTATCGAGTATATTAAAAAGCTTCCTGGAGGTTCGATTAAAAAATGGTTAAAGGATTGATCGAGCTGTCCTTTTTCTCGGATTCCATAAAATAACAAAATGCGTGAAAAAATATCGTTAATGCTGTTTAATTAGAAATTGTATATCGCGTAATTTTTCACATTTTGAACAAAATTCGTAATGGCGATCACCGGAGAACAAAAAAATTGTTAAAGGATGGTTAAAGGATTGATCGAACTTCCTTCTCGGATTCCGAATACACGTGAAATAACGAAACGCGTGAGAAAATATCGTTAATGCTATCCAATTAGAAATTATATTGCGTAATTTTTTATAACATTTTGAACAAAATTCGTAATATAATAAATAACGGCGGAGAACAAGAAAACTATTAAAGGATGATTAAAGCATTGATCGATCCTCCTTCTCGGATTCCGAATACACGTGAAATAACGAAACGCGTGAAAAAATATCGTTAATGCTGTTTAATTAGAAATTATATATCGCGTAATTTTTCACATTTTGAACAAAATTCGTAATGACGATCACCGGAGAACAAAAAAATTGTTAAAGGATGGTTAAAAGATTGATCGAGCTGTCCTCGGATTTCGAATACACGTGAAATAACGAAACGCGTGAGAAAATATTGTTAATGCTATCCAATTAGAAATTATATTGCGTAATTTTTTACATTTTAAAAAATTCATAATATAATAAATAACTGCGGAAAACAAGAAAACTATTAAAGAATGGTTAAAGCATTGATCCTTCTTCTCGGATTCCGAATACACGTGAAATAACGAAACGCGTGAAAAAATGTCGTTAATACTGTTCAATTAGAAATTGTATATCGCGTAATTTTTCACATTTTGAATAAAATTCGTAATATAATAAATAACGGCGGAGAACAAGAAAACTATTAAAGAATGGTTAAAGAATTGATCGATCCTCCTTCTCGGATTCCGAATACACGTGAAATAACGAAACGCGTGAAAAAATATCGTTAATACTGTTCAATTAGAAATTATATCGCGTAATTTTTCATATTTTGAATAAAATTCGTAATGGCGATCACCGGAGAACAAGAAAATTGTTAAAGGATGGTTAAAGAATTGATCGAACCTTCTTCTCGGATTCCGAATACACGTGAAATAACGAAACGCGTGAGAAAATGTCGTTAATGCTATCCAATTAGAAATTATATTGCATAATTTTTTACATTTTGAACAAAATTCGTAATATAATAAATAACGGCGAAGAACAAGAAAATTATTAAAGAATGGTTAAAGCATTGATCGAACCTTCTTCTCGGATTCCAAATACACGTGAAATAACAAAATGCATGAAAAAATGTCGTTAATGCTATCCAATTAGAAATTATATTGCGTAATTTTTTAATTTTGAAATTTCGTTTGAAAATTCGTAATATAATAAATAACGGCGGAGAACAAGAAAACTATTAAAGAATGGTTAAAGGATTGATCGAACCTTCTTCTCGGATTCCGAATACACGTGAAATAACGAAAGACGTGAGAAAATGTCGTTAATGGACCGATGGTATATGCAAATCGGGTAGATTTACGCGGTAATTACACGAGCTCGAGGTTTTTTGCGATCAAGGTGATCGAGGAAGAGGATCCTCTTCTGCTCGGATATAATAAAGGTAAGCGTGATCGTGCGTGCGGCGTAACGAGAACTCGATCCGTGGAACGAGCGTAGGATCGGGCGTTAGCACTTTATAGACGATAACTGAAACTATCTCGAGGTGGATGGTCGACGGTCTAGGGCCGGTAACTACTAATCGAAGCGGAGGAATCGACGTTTCTAGCCCTGCGGCGTATTCTCATCGGTGGAGCACGCGTTCGAGGCCTGTTATTACGCCAACTTCAAACTACCACCGCATCATAATCGTGGACCGGTCTCTCCACCTTCTCCTGGATGATATACGTATCACGAGCGTGGGTATGAGTGTGTAGTTGAACGTGAGTGAGAGAAGAGAAGAAAATAGGGAAGTTTCGCGAATAGACGAATAGGCGAAGAATAAAGAAGAATACGAATTGATGATACGAATGATGAAAACGTGGAATTAATCGTGGAATCAAATCACCGTTTTGATTCGAATCGTTTTTTTTTTCTTTTAAGAATCGATGCAAATGCTTGGAGGGTGTCGAAATTAAAATACGACCATCGTTCGAATGATTCCTCCGAAGGATCGATCGAGAGAGGAAAGTAATTCCGTTTCCTCGATTCTTTCTGGAATTATGAAACGCTGTGTTCGGAAGGCGTTGGTGGACTTTGCTCGACTTGGCTTTCTTCGAACAAAGAAATCAGAATCCGCGGACGATGGGGAAAGGGGAATGGAAATAAATCGGCGATCAGGTGCGGTAACCGGTGAACGCGGTCAACGAACAGCCGGCGAGGAAGCGAGCTGCGACCGATCCAAAACGTGCAAAACGAGAACGTCGTAACGGGCTTGAGTGAGTGTAATAAATTGATCGAAGGGAGCTACGTTGGAAACACTCTGGCTCTATTAAGCGGAAGATGCATGGCTTCTTCTTCTTCTTCTTCTTCTTTTAAAAACGGACACACCTTGAATCGGTCATAACTTTATGAGGATCTTCCTAGGAAATAAAATTCTTTTTAATACGTCTCATATACTTTCGTGATAATCCGTCGATGAAGAAAAGTTTCGTTAATTTTCATTCAGAAATTAAAATTAATTTGTTCAGAGATGTTTCACGCGGTTTCACCTCGGGAGTAGGCAAAAATTTGACGATTGGAGGATGGAGCAAGAGGGATGGAAGGCTCTCACGAGGATTGGCGTCTTGACGCGGACGGGTGAGGAAGCATGAATTAAGAAAGTTTCCCTTAGGTCGAAGAAAGGGAAGTGCACGATCCCGTGGAAGTTAAAGAAAATGGTAGTCGACGATTCCGAGACGAAAGTCTAGAAGAAAGCTCAATAACGATTCGACGAAGTTCTCCTCTATAATGCACCGACACCTCTCCCCGAATCCTATTTCGAATCCTATTTCACCCTCACCAGCCTCACCGTTCTCCTCCGTTTTCAGGAATTTAGCCAGTTGTAAGTTAATTTCGATTCCTTATGCAACGGTGCATTGACCAGATGACGACAAGGCAGATGTCGGCAAGGTTTCTGGCCGCAACCTTTCGAAAATATCATCTTTCCACCCCTTTCCATTATCATTCTCGATTTCTTTGATCTTCGTTTAAAAGGAGACTTATTAAATATCCTAGTTATTATTATCATCTAATCATCTATAATCCAAATTGAAAGTTAAATATATAAAAAATGTTCGTATATAAAAATATTCGCATTCAAATGGAATCGTATAACTTACAAATTAACTATATATATATACTCTTCTGAATATTTACGAGATCTCGTAAACGAATTAAGATACAAAGGAATAATTCATTCCATAGTCGCGTAACACTTATTCCCAATTTACCACTCAGTTAACCTCGTATACTAATAGCACGGGAAACGAGATTAATAATATATATATAAAAAACCGATATCCTGCGACTTTGCAAGTTTGATGAATCAATTTCTATTCAAAGGCGGGGGGAGGAAAGGTAATCGCGGTGAGCTTTGGAAAATTGAATTCCGCCGTAATAAACAATCGGTTCGTAGAGGATCGAGGCGAAATTTATTCTCGGCGGGCAACGATTGCATGTTAATGAACGAGCTTGATCTTCGCGACACCCGGCGCATTAGCGGCAGCCTGTAAATTAAAACATCCTTTCACCGCGTCCGCGTTCGAGCGTACGGTAAGGCCATTTCTTAAGTGGTCGCCGCCGACGCATCGCCATAAAACGTGCCGGTTATCCGCGAGAATAAGGAGCGTGCGAGTCACCCTTCCACAGGCCCATATTTCACCGTGTTTACGCGTAGATAACGCGGTTAAAAAAAAAAGAAAAAAGCAAGCACAACACGCCGCCACCCATTAAATATTAATGCGACTTCGCTTAATATATACGAATTTTATGCGAGCTTTTATGCAAGACAAGTTATACGATGTATTGTCCCGAAGGAGAGATTGATGTCGCACGATAGCCTGATTGTTCGAATGGTCCGAATGCGCGTGGATGCTTCCATTGAATCGTTTTCGATATTTTAGCACCGTGCGAATAATCGAATTTGCGAACGTAGCTCGCAAATGAGAGATGTTGCTTCTTGCTTTTGTTGCGAGTTGTGGATACGAATTGTGGAAAATTTTTGGGAAAAGTACGGGATGCTTATTTTTTATTTTTTTTTTTTTTTTTCTTTATGCAGATTACATTTGTTGTTTCTGGTTTGATATTTTGTATGAACGATTAAAAAACGGAAAAAAGAAAAACAAGGAACGAAATTTGAATTTGAAAAAAAAAAAATTCTGTTGAATTTTTTATATAGGATTGTAGGATTGTAGGATTGTACTTTGAAAAATAAAACTTCGTAAAAAGACTTTTTGTTATTTAGTACGGTATTTTAAATTTTGTGGCAGAAATCATCGGTTTTTCGCGCGATATAATACCATTCTTTTGATTCGTTCAATTCATTTTAGCAAAAAAGAATAAATTTTCATCTATTCATCTATTTAACATCGAACGAAAGATTAACGCGATATTAATGAACACATGATAATTGTTTTCTAAACAAAACGAAGGGCCGTAAGAGCTTGAGATCGAAATTCCCTGTGAACAGAAA